AACATGCTGCGAAGGTGCGTTCGAATTTTCTCGCTTGGCTAGAGAATTGCAAATTAATTTTTTGTCAATCTTTCTCACAGGCTAAATTACAACGCGCATTACTCAGATGTTCAGTGAGCTTCGTGTCGGAAACTGGAGTAGGCTGCAAGTGATGTTCAATTTCCCACCTCCGTCGCGTTTAAAATATTTTGGTAAAAGAAAATTTCAGCATTTCATAAGCTTTTTTCATTGATTGTGAACATTTTTATTTGCGGGTGCCGGTCTTGTGTTTCATTGGGAAGTTCATTTACCCACACTGCAGCATATCGGTCCACAGAAACTAAAAAACTGCACAGATACGACTTCCTGATCATATTCAGGGAATGAATGTAAACTTGTGAAGTAATGCTATTCTCGCCGTAGAATTTAGTGAAGTTTTTGCCGTATTTTCAACATGTTTTGAAACCGGATTTTTGTAGAAGGTTAACTTTCCAATGCGCGTCTGCTTCGATTTAAGGAAAATGAAATTCATGCAATGCAAAAGTGCTGGTTTCCTAACTTGAAAACTCCTGAAGTCAATTTCCGTAGTCTCATCAATCGAGCTTTTTATTCTCGCATATCCTTAGTCATTTTTTTGGCTGCTAGAAAAGTCTACATCAGGTCTAAAGTTCTGCAGTGGAAATCACACCAAATCGGCTCCCATCTGTTGTTCAGCAACTGGTTGGAAAAAATATTGTAGTCTTCTATGACCCTCTATTTTCCAGGAGAACTCTGCGTTTGTTGACTAAGCAAACGCAGAGATGGATTCGCGGCGTTGCTACCTGTGGATGTTGTTGATTCTTTTTGAAGCTTGTTTGATAAACGGAGAAATGTTCGACGGTTGGAAAGAGGGGTTGTTCTCTTTGGGCGAAGGGATCGCGACTGTGGCGCGGACTGTTGTGGACGTCGGCACCATCATCAACGACGCCGTCGAGGAGGACTGCGAATATTCGTGTCCGTCGGGGTTTGAACCATTGCCAAGAAGAGACCATGTGGCGACGGCAAATGGGTGCGGCTCTTACGGGTTACAGGTGGGGAACCTTGGGACACCTGTTTTTCTTTCAATTTTTCGAGTCGGGCTCAAGAGTGTGAACACTACTTGATTGGCTTCTCATTCAGATATACGGTACTCTCTCGAGCGTGATTCTAAAATTTGGCTGAGAAAAGCTTATTCTTTCATGACACATTTTGTACCTGTATTTTTTTTGGGGTCTCAAAAACGTAAATTTTGTAGGCAAATCTGAGACAATTTTTTGGCATTTGATTGACGATTAAGAAAGTTTGTTCAACAGCTCTGGTGAAAATCTTCTTTAAAATACAATCAACCCTCGATTTAGTGCTTCCCAATTTAGCGCCACAAATTTCTCTGGTGAAAATCTCCCTCCATTATGTTCTTGAGGAAAACCATGATTTAATGCCACAAAAAGTTGTTTTCATGTTTACAAAAAGGGCAGAATTCGAAGTAATCCAGACAATTTTACACAGATATCATTGGATTATAAGAATTTTAACTCAGAATCTCATCCCCATACTTACATGAAACCGAGGATACGTGTGAAAGATCTATTTTTGAATTTACGTTATTGAAAAATATTACTTGTTGCATGATCCCCTCCTTCATTGAAAATATCAAGCTTCTGTGGAAACTGGTGATTCATTCATGATGGCACTTCGAATAAAACTAACTTGAATGCACGCAAAATCTTGAGAAACAGCTGTTATCTTTTAGTAGATATCGTGTGTTTAAAAATCTATTACAGTACAGTACATTCAGCATTGATACACATAACAGAAGAATTAATTATAAAAAAATTACCTGTGAGCTTTAAATCCTTTATTTTGGCTTTTTCTCTTTGAAAACACCCTGCTGATGGCCTACGAATTCTGCAAACA